AAGCAGCACAGTGAGGACAGGTAGCATTGAATTGAGCTTCAATTTTCCAAAGGAAGATTTCATGATTCAGTGTACGATGACGCAGAAGCTGTGCAAAAAAACCTCAGATGAACAGAGAAATTATTTACCCAGTTGTTCCGGATGTTATTAGGAAACAGAAGATTCCGTACAAAATTCCGATAAAGGAATTTTGACGGACTTTTCTGGTTTGTTTAGTCAAAATTCGGAATTTTTTAATTTTCAGAGTGAAGTATAAATTGGCCTTTTCATTATAAGTTCGTTCGAATAAGAACAGGCCTGTTCTTATAAGAACGAAATTATAATGAAAGTGCCAATTGATACTTCACTCTGAAAATTAGTTAGCCGCCTAACCAACGAAATCTTATTCAGGAAAACAGAACACGTGTTTCTTGACCTTGTGCGCACAGAGAGAATGTATGCAACACTTAATGCTATTTGAATGACGTAAATCGATCAATGTACGTCGTTTAAATAGCACTATTTAGAATTCAATTGTATATGCCTTAAGGCGAGCACCCATTTAGCGATTAGCTGCTCGCCTTAAGGCATATACAATTCCTATTGTAAAATGAATTCTGTTTTTTAAGTGAAAGTAAACTGAGCGACTGCAACATATAACAGTTACATCTGTAAAAAGCAGTTTGCACTGAAGTTCAGGTTTCAATAAGATTTTTGGTCAGGTAATTTGCACATATTTCAGTTCAAAAGAGACCACGCACATGGTCCTCTCTAAAAAGGCCATAAGCAAAATATTTCCTTAGAATTCAAATTACTGTTCGTACACTGGAAAACTTTGTTAACCAACCTAAATTTACAGGCACGTCCGCGATTTCGAGATAAGCTTTTATAAGTGTGTCTTTTTAGGTTGTTTACAATGTTAACTAAAACAATTATGTTAAGTTTCAGGCGATGTGTATGACCTGTGCGAAAATCTGTGGACATATCGGAGATTTCGTGTTAGTATTTGCACAAGCATGATGACAAGCTAATAACCACAACACGCAGCAGGTATTTAGAATGAACTGGTCCCCGGGAATGCGCCATGCAAAGAGACAGCGAGTTGATGGGGAAATGTTCTGAACTTACTTAGGCACAGTTGTGCATATATTGAAGGCCGGTGGACGTATTTATCTGAAGGGTTACGGACGGAATAAGACACACACATCTACTTACAGATAATAATGCAAGTATAAAAATGTATTCGGGACATAATGAAAACATTGAAAGGAAGAAGTGGGAATCGTGAAGGAGCATTTCAAGTCGACTGCAAGTGCTCATATTACGAAGTGTGATTTTTGCCGAGATTTTCCTTCGGACAATAAGTATTTAGCTGTCCTTCGCTATCTAATTCGGCAATGATTCGCACCGTCACACTGGTTGGCCATGTCGTGTATTTTCGATGTGAAACCATTTTAAATCACTAATTTTTTTTCCTTAAATAGACTTAATCATGGTTGACCGCGTATTTTAGTTAAACTTTCGAGCTGACAGCCAGCAGGTTGCAGAGCACACTGTGTTTAGGGGTAATCTGGAATACCCAAGACAGGTTTCATCTTTTTCGCTCGAAAAACTCGGAAAATATGTTTAGCTCTCACGACCTACTTCAGTCCAGAATATTCCTAAAGCCATTGACCGTTTCAGTAACCTCGTACAACTCTTTTTTGATTAAATAAGTATCGTCCAGTATAGGTAGCAGCCACACCAATGTCCGCTTATACGTCATTTTGTCAGTCGATAATCGTGACAACTGATCTAACGTACACACATCGCTGACGCACGAGCATTCTCAAGCCTGAGCTGAGGCGTCTTCTGTTCAGATGCAAAGAGATGCAGTTGTTTACACAAATTTTTGCCGCCAAATGCACGTCTGAGGTCTGGCTTGTTACTCGTGGGCATTTTTCATCATCCACCCCTGACTCCACC